ACTTTCACAGTCCGAATACTTCCGCCAGTTTGGACTAGAACCACTAGTGAGAGGTCTCCTAGGCATGATCGGACAGAAAACCGTAGTCCCCTCCGAGAAGACAAGGCCCTTCCGGATATCGCTGTCCTTGATGGACCGATGGGAAGTTGGTGGGCACATAGTAACTGCAGTCTTTCTCCCCATTATCCGAAATGTCCAAGGTTTTGAGACAGTAGCCTCCAAACCCCAATTTGACGAGGTCTTCCGCAGTGCTAGCGCCTTTTTTGACGGTGTCGAGAGCGGAGTAATTTTCTCGGAACTACTCAAGTTGATAGATTGGGAACCAGACAGCCTTGTTCGCGACAATGGCCGGGTAATGGACAACCTTAGGCTCGCTCAATTCGTTCTGGAAAATTTCAATGTGCGAGAGGAGGACATGGTTCTGAACCATGTCCCGCTGCTAACCCTCTCCGTCCTTATGAAGATGAATGAGCTCTCTCCAAAGAATCATCCTGAAGCTGCACATGATCAACTACGACTTGTGTCGCATGGGCTATTTAAAGTGATGAGCTCTCTGACGGGCCTGCTTACAGAAAGGGCTTTCTCCAAGAAGTTGGCCTCTGAAAATACAACCAAAAACCATCCGACTGGTGACGTCAATATGCCTGAAGTTCTAGAGAAGATTCATGGTTTCTATACGCAAAGCACCAGCAGCCTTGAGCCCCCTCCATTACCCTTCGCTTCTAAACAACTTGTGGAGCTGATAATCAGCAAAGCCTACGAACTCGTCATATCAGCACTTGCGGGTGATAACGACATCGCATCAATACAGGAGAACGTAAATCTTCTTATTGTACTGTTGAAGAAGCTTCCTAAGTCACGCATACCACGCGACAGACGGCTTTATCTTGCCATCTGCAACCGCGTTAGTGCAAATCATGCCGAGCAATCTACTGCCACTTTCTCGGCTATCTCATCCATTGCCACCGGTGTCACGAATTTATATTCTATCCAAAATCCCGGCTTTTATATCAGCTATGAAGATATTTCTGATCTTATCCCGTCACTTGTTAAACAAGTTTGGCAATATCTCTCACCATTGAGCCCGAAGTTTCATGTGGAGGCAGTCCGCTGCCTGTGGCACTTACATTCAGTGTCATGGTCTGATCACCTTGTTGAGGCATCTATAACATCACTGATGGTCAACTCATCCAACACGTCACGTCAACTCTTGGCGGAGGAACAGATTGGAAGGTACTTCGTATTGTGGAATCACAGCCACCATGGTGCCTATGAACATCCTTCGAAGCACGCACAGGATTCGGAGTTGATTCAGTTTTCTTACCAATCTTCCCTGCTTGAACGTCCACTTTTTATTGTGCTAGACTCGCTCTCCCAAGCCCCTAGCGAAGCCTCTGAGGTGGTCCAGCGTTGGCTCCAAGATCTGCCTTCCATACACAAGTAAGCCCCCTAATTCTTCAAGTAGGCCCTTGTTTTTGATATATTTACTCAATGATGAAACAGGGTCTTCCATATCGTTGTTTCACGACTGGGTAGTCTTTTCACCCAAGCTGATCCCTCTGGGGCAAATCAAACAAGCCTTTCCCTTTCTCCCGATGATTACAAGGAATGTAGCTATCTATTGGAGACGATTCATAACATCATATCAGTCATCCCCCACAATGGGTGGGTTACTTTACTGACCCAGCCGCCAGCTCAAAGTGACCGACACCATGATGCGTCTGCTTCGGAAGGTGAGCTTCGCGACTTCAGTTTAACATGCCTAAACTCACAATACCTGCAGATAACACCGGGTCCCAGACTTTACACTCGATCATATTCCACGCCATTTTAAGAATAGTTAGTGGACCGAAGACTACGGCACAGGCAAGCTTCGACGAGGTTAAGTTGCAACAAACATCCTTACTTGTTATGCGTCAACTCCTGCTAGGCCCAGGAGCGGAAGAGGTGGCTGAGTCTGGAATTGACTCCCTACTTGTTGAACGACTCTCTGCTGTACTGGATGATGGTGGTAGTATTGCTATCCAAGGGGCTCTCATTGACACTCTCCTTGCAGCCCTGAAGGTTCGGTTTGCTCAGGCGTACTTACCACAGCCTCCTCCCAGACCAAAACACCAGAGAGCCAGCTCACGTGAGCGCTTAACAAGTCCCTCTATTCTATCATTTACGAGCGACAAGGCCGAAAAAGCGCCCCCAATCCCTGCCATGCCACAGCCTCCACAGAAGCTCCTAGAATGTATTCTCAAAGGTATCAGCTCTCCGAATTCGAGGGGCACCGTTGAAAGATGGACGATGTTGCTCTGTGAAGTCCTTCCACTATATTCAGGGTCTATATTCCAGATCATCCTGATGCTAGTGGATTGCTTCTGTAAAGAGATACAAATTGCGTACGCAAATCTGCAACTTTCATTCAAGCACACAAAAGGTTGGCCGGAGGATAGGTCCGAACATGCCACTATAGCTCTACTCACCGGTCTTGAAACCTGCATTGCTACTGCCCATGAGCGTCTTCTCGTGGATGAAGCAAATGTCCCTGCCGCTAAGAGCCCAGATCAACCTCAGGGGTTCTTTGGAAATATGGTATCAGGCGTGTTTGCCTCAGACGCCAGCCACGGTCGTTCAACCGCTGCAAATAATAGACTTACTGTCTTACTGTGCTTCCAAGATGCTGTGCGCCTGTGCTTTTCTATCTGGGCTTGGGGAGCCGTGGAAAGAAGTACTCTTCCTCAAGATGCTGAGTCTCTGGCATCCTTCCAATATACATCTTTGCGCATGAGGAACCGCTCCCGTCGGATTCTCGAGCATCTGTTTACAGCGGAGGCCCTTGAATGCCTTGAGACATTAGTAGAGATGTGGACGAAGACAGACAGTAATACCTCGTCTCTGATTTTCAGCCTGCTTCACACTCTAGATGGTTCTCGACCAAAGATTACCATCCCGGCTGTATTTAACGCCATCTATACCAGGACGAACCCTTCCGCTCTAGAACCCAGTCGTAAATCTACTCTATCGTCGACACTTACAGAAAACGAGTTAGCAGGGTTTCTAGTCACCTATGCCAGATCCCTTGATGACGATGTTCTCGACGAGATTTGGACAGACTGTACTACCTTTCTGCGTGATGTTTTGAGCAACCCATTCCCACACAGACAGATACTTCCTCGCTTGGTTGAGTTCGCCGCTATCCTTGGTGCGAAGTTGGAGAACACCAGCTTCGGTGAGGATCGTCGAATGAGGAAGGAACTTGGGGTGCGTGACCTATTAGTTGATGAGGTATTACATGTGCTAACCTTCATAGGATGTACTGCTACGTTTACTCACGGCAATATTTACCAGCAAGCCTATGGGACTGTCACAAGAGTCGGGTTTGCTGGGTCGAGGCTCTTTAGAGCATGATAATCTGTCAGCACCTCATATCGGACCTGATGACATGCTCAGCATCCTTGCTAGTTCTATGCCTGCCTTCACAACTACATTAGGCGACTCGGATCGTATTACTACAGCTATATCAGGCATTTCAACCAATGTAATAGGGCCACTTTTGCGATCGCGGCTTTTCCCAAACAACATCAGCCACAACTTTATGGCTCTCTTGCAACATATCGCAAAGGTTCCGGCTGCCGCGAAGGTCTGGAAGAAAGATATTGCGGAAGCCTTCAATGATCCTAGATTCTTCAGTTCTCACCTCGAACTTGTGAAGGGTGGATGGATGAACCTATTCCGACAATGGGTGCTTGCTGATAAGGATCGATTATCTGAGCTGATGTCTCGGCTTCCACCCCCGAGCACTGCGGGAATAATGTTTGGTGTGGGAGCGTCTGCTGCCCGCCTAGATGCCGATAGGAAGGCACAATTGAACCTCCGTAGGATTACTCTGCTTATCTTGTCCGCGAACAATGACTACTTTATTGGAGAACTACCGGGACTTCTGCAGAAGCTAGAAGATCTCCTAGGGGCTACTAGTTCATCGTCACCGTCATCCACGACTAGAGCGGAGATATTCATGGTTCTTCGGGCTCTTGCACTGAAGAGTTCTACAACTGCGCTGGCTCCATTCTGGCCGTTGATCAATACGGAGCTTCAAGAAGCTATTGCTGCCGTTCCACTTGGATTACAGCAAGAGGTATACAGTCCATATGCATTGTTGCAGGCGTGTAAGCTTCTTGACACGCTACTCCTCCTTGCCCCGGATGACTTTCAGCTACTTGAATGGCTCTATGTCACGGATACGATAGATGCCGTCTATCCACCAGAACGTTGGGAGCCTATGGCCCTTGCAGATGAGATTTCACAGAGCTTAGGAACGCGCTCCGCGGCCGCAGACGGCCCCAGGGAGTCGACCGAACTCGGTCATAGTGTAAAACAGCCGGGTCTAACAGCGGACTGGATCCGTGAGACGGCGAAAGATGAACTCATTGACCGGGTTCTTCGGCCTTGGTTTGAACAACTCAGCATTCATGCTTTCGAAAGCACTTACAGCATGAGCAGTCCGGGCTTGACAACATCTTACGATGATCTGTTGGCGGACTTATTCAACGAGAGTACCATGGCAAATTAAGTCCCTCCTTTTTCTTTGGCTTTCTAGGCGACCATAATGAAGTCTCATGTGTATTATATCCAGATACTGGGTACAGTTTCTTTCATGTTCAAGAGTTAGATAGTGTTGCAACCTGTTGTGCAGCTTTGACCCCTTGCGGCTCTAGTCAGGCGTTTGGGAATAGCCTATTGGATCATATCCCAGGGATCTTTACGGTCGATGAATGAATAGACATATATTCGGAGCATTTTCTTGTTTATAGTAGCGAAGAAATACTGCGGATGAGAAGACAATGACTATCATAAAATATACCGGTAGTCAAGCGGATACCTTAGGCAGGGATATGTACATGCTTAACTTCGGGTCCGTGATGATTAGCGGCCGTCTCCACCCGAGCTTAAATGGCAAACACCAACGTCACTTCAAGCTTTGCCGAACCTCCATCACTTGAACTTGTAAGAGCAGCTAATCCTTGCTGTAATTTTCTTTTCCGGAATGTTCCTTGCTAATCCAAGTATCAGACGTCTGGGGCATTTATGATCATGAGTGCTTACAGAATGGCATTTCCTGGTTTGCGCTCCGTCGCAACAAGGCGCGCGGTCATCTCCGTGCGAAGGAGCTTCTCTACCTCGCCATCCGTGAGAGATGCTGCAGGCTCCACGTTGCCCGCTAAAAAACCTGTTGGGGCTTTTCGCGGAGGGTAAGCTTTACTGATTAAACGTCTTAGAAGGCAAGGTTACCCTTTGGTTGTAACTAACCAGCTCGTAATGCTAGAATATTTGGCTTCCTTACTGGGACTATTGTTGCCGGTGCTTCCGTCTACTATTACATCCTTGGGGAGTACAGAGTGACCAACGAGATGTTGACAGAGGACATATACGTATGTTATGGGTCTCTCTTTTGTTTTATATTTCTCCCTTTTTCTCCAACTTGCCGTTATCATAATCTTCTCTTTCCCTCTCTTTTCGTTTTCTTCTTTCTGTTTCATCACTTGGTCTCCGACAATTCTTCCATCTGTTATATTGAAGCTCAACACAGATTTGTCTTTCCTCACACAAGTATCACCTAGTTTAAGACATAGCATAGCTCCCTCTTACGCCTTAAATTTTTCACATTTTGGCCTGTTCGCTCGAGATAATCATACTAACCAGTTTAAACAGGCGCTCCAAACAGCAACACAGAAACTTCAGACATACATCGGTGAACTGGAGACGAAAGTGGACCAACTGAGGAAGAAATAGTCCTCACAGAATAACGCCATAACCAGTTCCCAACATATCTTTCATCAGGAGTTTGTTTCCGCATGGTTTTCCAAACATACTATTCAATTTTCAGATGCAGTTTATGCCCGGCATTGAGTGAGCTTTAATAGGAGAACGTGATTTGTTCATGCGCTGCATCGATTGCTACATAAAAAGACGTATTATTTATGATATTAACTGGACTTATGATTTCTTGCCTTATAACCGACTGTAGTAAATGTACTCCATACCGTCAGGTCAACTGCGTCATTCCAAAGGAATGCAAACATAGCAAACACAGCAAACACAGAATGTTCCATGGAACATTTTTGGGGAACGCCAAAAGAAACGCCTTTTGCGATAACATTGTCTTAACCCAATACAATCCTTTTTTCCTTTTCCCCCTTTCGTACCAGCAATGTATCACGTCGAACTTCTTCCGAGCACGACAACTCACCTCACTCCGGGGTGGACCTACGTCCCTGACAGGGGCTTCGACCCATCCAAAGCAGCGATCACGCCCACCATCGGCAGGAAACGAGGCATTCGCGACCCCGGCAGCCGTGGAGACGTATCATCAAGACAGGCGAATGCGATCATCCGACATTTAGCAGAGCTCGATCGGGAGAATCACAGGGATGTCCATATTCCGATTCCCGTGAAACAAAAAGATGCAGCTGGAAGAGGTATCTTGATCTTCCCCGAGATGCGTTGACGGGTTTTGCGACAGGATAATAGCTAACAACCGCTCTGCCACTCACCAGGAACAAGGGGCAAGGTTACCTCGAATGTGCGCCGTATCCTTCAATCGCAGAAAACCTTCCGAAACTATCTCGACGACGAAGAAGCCGCGTTAGCGCAAGCAGCCCAGTCGACTACGACGCAGCGTCCTCCAGCCAACAAAGTAACAAAACCATCATCATTACGAAGAAGTTCCACACCCGCCACAACGCCCAAACCTGAATCCTCGCGTCAGAAGAAACCATCTTCCACGGTACCCGCGTCTCAGAGGGCATCGGCGACACCTGCAGAACCACCGAGCGCCGCTACCACAGAAGACACGGAGAAGGAGCTAACGAAGGAACCCGAGGACAAGCAAGCACTTATCAAAACCGAGCACGACAATGACCCCCTCCTAAAATCATTTATCCCCTCTGCGCCGTCGGAGCGTATCATGCAGGCACTTCTTGCGGAGCCGCCATTGACGTATAATGCTTCTCGCGCTGGTCCGCCAGTCACAATAAAACCGCAGCGGTATTTCTGCTGCGTGTGCGGTTATTGGGGCAAGATCCGCTGCAAGAACTGCCCTTCGCGGACCTGCGGCTTGGATTGTTACAAACTTCATGAGGACTCAAGATGTGGGGCGTTCTATTAGGCCATTCAATCGGATAGGCTGAAAAAAAAAAAATACCGGATGGTCGTTTTTCGCGTCTAGATCGTCATATTGGAAACACCAGACCGCTCTATGGGAGAAGATTACACTCGCCCGAAGCAGATTCCGCTGTTCACAGCCCAAGGTAGACACCAAGGCATACTCCCATAACCTCGAGAGAGGGGCTCCACTTTGTGTTCGCGAGATCATGAAGTACACGGGCGCTATTATCTTATAGCTGCAGTATGAGCCATGTGTCTATTATATTCTTCCGATATATTCCACTACAACTTGATGAAGCACACAAGAAGCCTTCCTTCAGATTCGGCGCCTATCTAACGCTACTAAAGTTGTACGGGTTGAGTAGCTTGTTCGGCAGAAAGACGCTCCGATGTATAGGCTGAAGGAAATAAAGCGTCCGTCTTCATTCGAACATATTCGCGGGGCTCAAATCCGGCGACTGCCTCATGCAAGTTCGCACCCCTAACCATGGGTACTGTCAATTGAGGCACTCAGAGACGTCAGACCCATAAAAAGCAGATAGGAACCATCTATCCCAAGCTTATGAAGTCCTCCGGAATTGTAAACAAAGGACTAGGACGCATTTCTAGACCCGGGTGTCGTTTCCCAATATCCAGCAAATAGCGTGAAAATACAGCGCTAATATCACTACCTCGATGGAAGAAAGATGTATAGCTTTCGATTTCTATCATACTAAAATGTATATGCATGTATTTATGTAAATATGTAAATCAACACTTCAAATTGATACCAGCTCGTAATTCCTCTTGCCGGATTTCAAACATAACCTGGACTCCCACAAACAACGCCGCACAGGCCGTAGCCAGATAAACCAGACCAGAATAAGACCCCAGCATCTCGCTTAGCAAGCCCTGGATTCCGTCCAACCCCAAAGCAAACCCGACCAAATTGGCAATCATCATCATGAGAATGTTCCCTACAGCACCAATACCACAAAGGACGCGGTACGTATTCGGGCGGGAACGCCATTTGTGCGCGGGGAAGAGCAAAGTAGCGATGATCTCGGGGAGGACGAAGAGGGTAATGAGCCATCCCCACATGAGGAGACGGAGGTTGAGATCGTGCCAGAGAGCAACAAAAGTGAAGACGATGAGGAAGTTGAAGATCTGGCGGGCTTTGGCAAAGAGTACAGATGATGATTTGTTATCGTCGCCGCGTGCTCGACCTCTTCCTCCGCCTAGGGGCACGTAGACGTAGCGCACGATCCAGCGATTGAAGGAGCGGTGCCAGGCGCGCCAGAAGGCGAATGCGGAGTAGTTGTTTGAGACGCAGCGGACCATGTTCTCTGGTGGGTCGACGCCGTCCACTAGGGCCCAGAGTCGGAAGAATCGCCATGGGATTAGGAGCTTCAGCCAGATGATGTGCAGGTTGAAGAAGCCTAGCATGCTGAGCTGGCCAGGGCTATACAATGACCAGTCCGGGTGTGCTTGGGAGATGGCCACTGCGTAGATGAAATGCAGAATGAATTCCATGGCCAGCACAGTCAAAAGGAATCGGACGGCGTAGCGAGTAACGCGGGATCTGGTAAGAGATAGAGGTGGGAAGCGCTGCTGTGAGATATAATCGTTGAATGTTAAAATGGGCCCGGCTAGATATAATGGCGAATACAGGACATAGGCGAGATAATTGCGGCCATTGAATGCGGAGGGCTCCGCCGGGATGTTCACGCGGTCACGCTCCGATAGTGCCGTAGGATCAGCTTGTTTCTTCTTATAACCGTTAGACAAGAACTTGCTTTATGGAGGAAACGACTTACTTCAATGGGACTAGAGGCTGGATAATCAAGGCTCCAATAATAATCCATATTGAAGCTGATCTGCCGCAATATCGTGACCTTGAACAGCACCTCCCACCGAGGCATTATGCCTCCAAAGCTATCGAGATACCGGGCCCAGAGGACTAAAGGAGAGTCCTGCCCGGCGTTATCTGCTGAAGGCACCAGCATGGTGGCTATGCGCTCGAAGGGGTAACCCGTACAGAGTTCGTTCGCAAAGAGTATCGCAATGTTGAATGTCCAGGTAATAGTAGGCACATATTGTCGTGGAAGCGATTTCGCAATCTTATAGTTTACATATAATATACCGAGCACCTTTATGGCAGACACACCATGGAGAGCAACGATAAAAATCAGTGCGAAATAAAAGTCAAACCGTACCCGACGGGCCAGGCGAGCGTCTCCCTGAGCTGTAGTCGCATTGGCCTTTGTTTGAGTAGAGCTTGCATCGACCGATTGTCCAAAGTGTTCGTAGACGCGACGGAGCAGTGGATGGGCAACCAAAAGCGCGAGGAGGTAAGGAATGTTATCACGGAAGCTGGAATACTGCGCATCCGAATTGTCCTGCCCCGGAGACGAAGAATAAGCAACAGTATACAGCATAGTATAGACCGGAGTACTTACCACTTTGCGCCCAGCTATCCAACCAGGGGACAGTAAATGAGAGTATGTTGGATAGGTCGGATGACTCTCTAGAGCACAGTCAGCATTGGCCTGCCTCCGTTGGCGCAGAATGCCCTACCCTGTGACACTTCGATAACCGTTTTGAACATCAACGGTACTGCGATGAGAAAGATGACATAGTATACCCAGAACTCGGGCGTGCGCCACTTAGGAGGAGCAGCATTGCTGGCAATTGCATTTGCGCGGGCATCTTTTGCGGGCGCAGATCGCGTGTCAGCAGCGACGGCCTTCAGTGGAGTATTTGACGAGACAATGAAACGAGTATCCAACGTATCCAGAGAATATAGGCGTCGGAACCAAGAGAGAATTGAAGTCATTTTAACTAAGCATTGCGTGGCCAGAGCCCCTCAAGAAATGTGTCGAGGGGGGACTGATTGCGGAGAAACAACAATATTTTGGGAACAAACCGAGGATCTATTATTGGTTCAGGGGCGGAACGTTGATTGGCGATAAGCGGAATCACGGGTTGATCTGGGGGAATCAGGTGACTGGTCACTGATGAACGATCAAAAGTATTCAATGTGACCATATGTATTATTCTAGGAATGGTAGACTGCCTGTTTTACAAAGACTGAAGAAGGCAAGGAGAAAACAAACATCGCTCCGGAGATATATATAATGACGTCAATACTCAAGACTAGACATAAAACGACGATCTGTCAAGGTTGCCTTATAGCTATCAAATACCCCTGTAAAAGGGATCTTCGTGCTAGAACTCAATTCTAAAGACCAGTTGACTCTCTGTGTGTGAACCTGGTAGTTCTCCGTACGCCATACTGTATTTGACAAACAGCCTGTTACAGCCCTTCGTAAAGGCAGATGACTAATGGGTCTACAACCACTTCCATTGCTTGAACATCAAACAACTACAATATAGTATACTGTCAGGACAAAGACATAGACCGATATTTGCAGAAATACTCGCTCCGGAAAGAAAACACAACTATCTCAACATGTCTATCCAACGGGTACAGTCCCCTCCCCTCATCGCCAGCAAAAGATAACAACAACACCCCGCACTCATCCGTTACGTCATTACTTCTACTGTATAGGGCAGAAGCGAGGCTGATAAGTTATGCAGATCGCATTCAAGGTCAGTGGTACCGTTCAAGGTAGGTAATTATGAGATAGGCCTAAGTTTGTATCAATTTGTCGATAGAGCACAATGCAGTCTTGAAGATGGAAACCGGGGTAGCTAACTAGAGCAATCAATCAACTAGGTGTCGGCTTCCGGTAGGGCTCAGCCACTCTACCAGCAAACAGAGCAATATATTGACAATTGCTATGTTGCAGTGACTTCACACAGAGGCGTGCAGCCGAGTTTGACTTAAAAGGCTGGGTGAGAAATACCACCTGTGGACGGGTTCGTATTTGCTCTTTCTTCCCCTTCCACCCTTGCCTCCCTAGTCAACGATCCTGGAATATGGGTCAATACCATGTCCAGCTTCTACTACCCCTTCCCATGACTGATTAGATCATCAGGTCGAGGGCGAAGCCCAAGGAACTCCAGAGTCCATCCAAAAACTGCTCAAGGAAATCAACAACGGCCCACGACTGGCGCATGTTGTTAAAGTGGAGAAGAAGGATCTTGCCGTTCAGGATGGGGAGGCCTATTTCGGAGTCATGCGCACCTCCGAGTCGGCTTTTGATGCTACGAACTGATCTCATTTCTTAATGTGTGACTGTCATTAGGCGGATTTGGGGCTTTGAGCGATTGATTGTATGTACGTGTATACCAATGAATGAGGTGTGTATATACTAAGCTGTGTGAACAATGTTTATGTATACACTCCTGGATGCCACTATGAATGCCAACGTGATCGAAGGAAATAGGTAGGCATTCTTCGGTTAGATGTGATGCTCGGAGCGTTAAGCCCGACTTCCAATGGGTCATTACTCACGGAAGTCATGACTTGCCTCCGAACTATAACCTGCTCAAATTCCCTCAGAGCTCGGAGGACTTAGTGAAATGTCTAATTAACCTTAATTCGAGGCTGGGCGGATGTTGTGGGGCAGGCCATGATGAACTGAGAGGCCGGTCATCATCACAAGTCTCGTCATCAGGAGAGAACCACAAGATGATGATATATATAATAATTAATAGTAGTATAGATGGGATGCTAGCCTGTCACCATCTTTCCGGACGAAAGTTATAGCCAAGGGACTGAGGCACAAGTTTTGGAATTTAAATTATCAGAAGGAATCAGGCAATAAGACAATATACACAAATGCAGCATTATTTACATGTACGTGCCATAATTAAGGGTATCCGTTGTCGCCGCCTCAGTGATCATATCCCTTCAGCTCCTGAATAAAAATGTCGGCCGCTTTCTCGCCGATCATAAACGCAGTATTGGCCGTATTAGCACCGACGTTGCCCGGCGGCACACTCAGATCGGCAATCTTGAGCTTCTCGACACCGTACACGCTCAGGCTCGAGTCGACAACGCCGCCCGCGCTCTTGGGTGCCATCTTGCACGTTCCCAGCGAGTGCCACGTCGTGCCCACATTAGCCCGCAGCCACTGCTCCAGCACCGCGTCGTCCTCGGCCGTGTACACAATGTCGGGCACATCGTCGGGTAGAGGACCGTCAAAGGGCTCCGAGGGGGTGGCGGCGTCCGAGTCAGCAGCGAAAGCCGGGTGCAGTGGGGCAAACTCGCCGCGGTAGACGTCCATGCGGCGGATAATCTCCCGCTGCTTCTTGTAAGACCAGACGGATTTCTTGATGTCGATGTCGTCCTCGTCGGCGAAGAAACCCGTGGCGAAGTCGAGGGACGCGTCAAGGTCCTTGGAGGTGATGTGGAGGTGGCCACGGGAGTAGGGGTACAGGGTGAAGGTGGAGCAGGAGAAGTACTGGACTTCAGGCTGGCCAGTGGAGTCTCCGGGGAAGCTGGAGAGGAAATGTTCTCAGTATACTCTGCATTCAGGACGACAGAATTGGAGTTGGAGATGGCTTACCCGTTGAGCGAAGTGATCATGGAAAGCGGCTTCGTTGGGTTAGTCTTGTAGTCGCGGTTCCAGGCGCTCTCAAACGCGGGCCCAAGAGCCTTGGCCTCCTCGTCGCTGGGCCGGAGCTTCGAGTAGACATCGGCGGCGGTCCAGCCTATGATGGGGTCGTTCTTCTTAATGAGCTCGTCGACGTTAGTGCGGCCTGAGTAGATAGCATCAAAGGTCTCGTTGGGTAGGAGGCTCGAGTAGTAGGCGTAGGTCATCAGCTGATGGTCCTGGTATTCGGCTCCCACACCGGGCACCTCGGCGACAACCTCGACGCCCGCCTTGCCCAAGATCTCAGGGTCGCCCACGCCAGAGCGCTCCAGCACGAGCGGGGTGCCCAGGGCGCCAGCGGAGAGGACGACGAGCTTCTTGGCCTTGACCCTCTGCGCAGGCTTCTCGGCACCATCGTTGAACTTGGGGTTGGACCTGAACTCGACGCCTGAGGTCTTGTTGCCGTCAAAGAACACACGGATGACCTGGTGCTGGGTGAGGACGTAGAGATTGGGGTGGACGCCGTCACCGAGGCGCGGGTGCAGGTAGTTGGAGGCGGCATCCTGGCGCTTGCCTCCGCTCACGTAGCGGATGTTGCGCTGCGTGGCATTGATGGTCTCCAGGTCCTGGATGTCGCGAGCCTCCGGGTATCCGAGCTTGGCAGCTGCCTTGATGAAGCCCTCCTCGGACGCCTTTGCCGTGTAGTTGCTTGCGGTGGCGATCATGGGGCCAGAGTAGCCGTGTGTCTCGGGCGAGCCCTCACCTTTATAAGTCTCGAGCTACCGAGTGAGTCAGCTAGTGCTCAATTGCTCACAACTGGATCAGTGGACACAGCATCACATACTTTTTGGAGATAGGGAACCAGGTCCTTGGAAGACCACCCCTCGACTCCCCACTGGTCGTAGTCAACGGCTTGAGCACGGCTGTAGGTGAGCAGGTTGATAGACGAGCCGCCGCCGAGGACACCGCCGGACGGCACGACAAGCGAGCGATTGCCCACGGCCTTCTCAGCGATGCCCTCATAGAAAAGCGTGTCAGTGTTGCCGGGCAAGATGTTGTTGAGCAGGAGCAGGGGGTAGGTGACGTTTCGAAGGCCCTGGTTGTCTCGGCCACCCTCAACAATCAGAATGGACAGGGTCGGGTAGGCATCGCTCAGTCGAGATGCCACGACACAGCCCGCGGTGCCGCCTATGTCAAAAAATCCATTGATTAGCTTTTGTGGTTCATGGCATGTTGACCGGCCGAAGCTCAGTGCAGCAGTCCGTATGGATCCACGAACCTCCGACGATGACGACATCGACCTCGTCAAGCCCCTCAGGCAACTCTTTGTAAAGTCTGCCCATGACTGGTGAGAATGGTGTTTCAGCGCAGACGAGTGAGGAGAAGAAGGCCCAGGAGATAAGCGCACGAAGCCAGAAATGCGTAGTCCTCTGAGTACCACTCAGGAAAGAGAACATGGTGGCTGCGCAGCGGTTAAATACATCGAGGTCGATGGAGCTGGAGATGGCTGCGATCCCATCTATCTCTTGCGCCCTAAATCGAATACGAGACCCAAGAGTAAGCTCAACCCATACGACGAGTACAGAATCTCTTCGAGGCTGAGGCAATTAGGCCTCCCGTCCTAACTGTCCGCCTTAGGACCACCAACAAGCTGGCCAATCAATATATCATAGACAAAGCAAGCACAATCAGCTTGCATTTCTTACCCCGGCCATTGGTGACTTAAACAAGGTCAAGTCTAGTGCCACATCACCGTTGATCCCAGAAGGAAAATCTCAATGGATGGCGTATCACTTAGGGACTGTCACTCTCGACGACAAGTAGTTAGTTAATTGTCTCTCACCCCCTTCCCTCACACACATCATTAACGAAGGGGAGGCCCTCCATTATCACATTGCTGTTGCCCAAATTCCACTAATGCGCTGTGGGGGTATGGAGTACTTGTCTTCCCGTTCGTTACCTGGGAATCGACACAATCAAGATATCTCTACTTCTCGGCCGGGAAAAGTGAAGCTCATGATATTACACAGTACGAAGGGTTTCCATAGAAGGAGTTCGGGATCTGCTGTACGTAAGGAGTTCAGAACTGAAGAAAATTTGCAAGGGGTCTGACGTATGGAGAGCCCGATAAACTACTACTTTACTATGGAGTACTCCGTACTGAATCAACCAAAGACGATCGGGATCCGAATCGACTCGGAGGTCAAGCTTCGGCATCGCGTTGAGTCAGACGCCGTTCCGGTTTCCACCGAAGTCATCTGCCCGCCCCTTCGTATATTTTTTAAATTACACACTCCGTATCAATATGTAATATACGGTATCTCGCCGCTGGATGCCCAGGTTCTTTCTCGGGCATAAGGATAATGGGGAGACTTTTAGATTCGCTTTCACTTCAGCTGCAGAAAGGACCCGGGGGGTTCTTAGTATTAAATACGTTAATTGAGGAATTTTGGTGTCGAGAGGATGTTCACGACGGTTGCTTCCATGTAACTTCGGTGTAACTTCTAAAGGCTTGAAAGTTTGGTCCCTAAAGGACCCGCCAAGAAAAACCCGTTCCATATCTTGATTTTGTTGTTTGCAAGGCATGTCAGAATCCCGCAAACGGATCTCAGTTGGTCGTCCCGGTGTGGCTCAAAGTCGTCCTAATTGTCAGCACGTTCTGGCGAGAACATTTTGCGCCCTATGACAGTATACTGTCTTTGTCTGGTTCCGGCCCTATTCCGATTTCTGCCATAAGCTTCTTATCCAGGACTATATATAGATAGACAGTAGAGCCGTGATGTCCCAGTATCCAGTAAACAGCAGGCCTTTTGTGATCAAAGCAAGACTCTTTCTACTACTACTACTACTACTACTGAACCTCAAGTTCATTGATCAGCTATCCAATAACTTATACTCGGATGAATTCGATAACAACCACAGTGCCCCTTAGGGCAGCTTCACTTCCGAAGTCCTACCTGCACCTCACAATCCGAGGATGCACAGGTTCTGTTGCCACAGCTGGACTACGATGCAGCGGTCCATTGCTAGCGAGCAAAATCAACCACCAGAACACCAAGCGTTTCATCTCATCGACACCGCACACACAAACGAAGGAATTCTTTCCTCCACCAACTGCGCCTCACATCAAGGAGGTAGAGACAGCTTGGGCCCACCCTGTGTAAGAACCCCTTCACTTAAAGCATTCTGGTTAGTCTAATAGTGGGTGCTAACCATACTAGTTATACCGAAGAACAGATGCGCCACGTCACAGTTGCTCACCGGGAAACAAAGGACTGGGCAGACTGGGTAGCACTCAGCACCGTTCGATTGCTCCGATGGGGCATGGACTTCGTAACCGGGTACCGACATCCTCCTCCGGGCAAAGAACATGAGGCCAAGTTCCAGATGACCGAGCAGAAATGGCTCACTCGATTCGTCTTCCTGGAGAGTGTTGCTGGTGTACCAGGAATGGTTGGAGGCATGTTGAGACATCTAAGAAGCCTGAGACGGATGAAGAGGGACAATGGATGGATCGAAACTCTGCTCGAGGAGGCATACAATGAGCGCATGCACTTGCTCACCTTCTTGAAAGTCGCCGAGCCAGGGTGGTTTATGCGACTCATGGTCCTTGGCGCACAAGGCGTCTTCTTCAACGGCTTCTTCCTCTCCTATCTCATGTCGCCGCGCATCTGCCACCGATTCGTTGGTTACCTTGAAGAAGAGGCAGTGATCACCTACACTCGAGCGATTCAAGACATCGACCACGGGAAACTCCCCAAGTGGACAAACTTGGAAGCCCCGGAGATTGCCGTCCAATACTGGAAGATGCCTGAGGGCCAACGGACTATGAAGGACCTGCTGATGTATGTCCGCGCAGATGAGGCCAAGCACCGCGAGGTGAACCACACATTAGGAAACCTGAATCAAGCCGCAGACCCAAATCCGTACTCGGTCAAGTACAAGGACCCAAGCAAAGCCCATCCTGGCAAGGGCATTGCGAATTTGAAAGCAACGGGGTGGGAGAGAGAAGAAGTGATTTGAGTGTCGTCATTCACATTAAGGACCGTGTGCGAAAGTTTTTATCTCTCTTTCTCTTTTTTCCTTTCTTATTTTCTTTGTATTTTTTTTTTTTTTCTTTCTACTTGTATAGCACCTAGCAGGACTGGCCGTGCTGAAGCAAGTTTGTTTTATTATGGGATTTCATTGTGCCCGGCGCACGTCTTTTTCAGGCGCAATGATTGTTGCAAAGCACATATTTATTGGCATAAGGACAGATTGTAAATAGAATATAGAACTCCTCTTCTTGAATATGTTTGCCTAGAGTGGACGAATCATTGCCGTTTTGAAGCCATTTAATTTCATCTTGAAACACCGAAGCGTTGAAGAAAATGGGAAAAGGTGATCCGCGCTCATGAAAAGGTTGGTCGAAATCCGGGGCGTTCAGGTACGGGACCCGCTCTAAGCCCCAACGGGTCTAGCGCCCAGAGATAAAACAAAAAAAAAGATGGTAAAGAGAGCCATCGATAAGTTGGGAACCTCGGAGGGGATTCGCGAGACCCATGGATCACTTCGATGACTAGGTTCGCAGGGCTACAGAACAAGTCGACAGGAACATGCAGAACGGTCAGGGGCTTCTCTGGATAAAACGGAAGTACCGGCGTGACGCGAGATTGATTGATCTATTAATACCATCACTACCGAGGAGGTAATTAATTCCAGGAAGACGTGTTAACGACGCTATCGACCCGCTTCCCCTTTTAGTGGGAAAAAGTGCCCCCCTTTCGAACTTCCAAAGAATTGTTCTCTTTGCCGATCGATCACCGTTACCAATTCAACCGAGGACGAGTCCCTGTTTTTAATAAACGCCTGACTGTTGTTGTTGTCTCTGTCGACCCGACGTCCATCTGTCCTTTCCTGCTTGGGATTGAGATACATCATATTATCTACAACCAGATCTGTGTCCCTCCTTGCATTTCTCCCAGATCTATAAATTCTTCGACGGTGCTGCACATAACCCTCCCGGAAAGAGTCAGCGCATTAGATCCACGCGATTATGGATGAGTCTATCGAGTCCGAGTCCGTTGCCCCTCCTGTCCGAGCCTCTTCGCCCTCACCATCCATCGTACCGACGCCCGCGATTTCCTCGTGTCCTTCCCCGTCAGACCGCACCGTCTCAACCGTGTCGACCCTTTCATCTCGATCAGTCTCGTCCGCCACATCTGCCGATGCCAGATCCTCCGTGTCCACCGTCTCGTCGAGAAGACGAGGGTATATCCGACCCCAGGGGGTCGAGTTTGCTGAATCGGCCAGACACCGTGAGAGTGTGATGAGCTTGGGCAGTATAGCGCATCTGCAGTATTATTTTGCCCGCACAGGCTTGTTGGAAGGGAAGGGCGGCCAGGCTCGGGAGTGGAAGAAGAAGCAAAAGCCGGAAGACATACCGAGATTACTCCTCACCCCAAATGCTCGCTTCATCGAGGATATGACTGAAAGCCCGACGGACGAGAGCTCGGAACCCGCCGACGAAGAGTACGATGAGCAGGAGGTGATGCTGCCTCCGACTGTGAGCACCTATAGCGTGAAAACTTTCCACCTCCCGCCGCCGCCAGATCTCGTAGCCCTGCGAAAGGATCTCCGGGATGCGCTCGACGAGGCCGAAAAGATCATGGAGACGGTTGGATCCGAGAAGGAGCCGCCACGAAACATGAAGCCTCCACGTATCAACGTAGACGAACTTCCTGACACTGGCGACCCGACGAGCAAGATGTTAGCAGGAGCCACCCCATTGGGTTGGCACGAGATCCAGGGCATGCGTATTCTGGATGTTGTGACTCTTGCGATTCGGGCTGCTAGGATTTATTACACCGCCCACGAACGGCCAGAGCGTCTAGCCTCGATCAAAAGTGAGCGGGAAATACGCCAGGAACTGTTTGACATGCTGGAAGTCCTGAAACGATGGGCCTCCCGTAATTTTACCGGTGGACTCCGGGACGACGAGCGCTCGTCCATCATGGATTGGATGGCGAACGTGCGCAGCATGCTGGCGCAAGAAGTTCATATGGAGGAGGTGGAAGCCCAGGAACGACAAGGATGGGCTTGGGCACGTGGAGACTGGAGTGGTAAAGAGAGGGCGCGCGAGGAAGCCTTCCTGCGTAGTTTGCTGGAGACGGATGCATTGCCAACATGGACAGCCCCCGAAGGTCAGGTCCTACCAACTCCGATGCTCGAGTGGTTCCGAGACGGGCGCGGCCTGGTTCAAATCCATAACCAGGCCGTAAAGAAATCCAAGAGACCCTTCTGCGAAATCAAATCTTTCCATGAGGACGTCGCCAAACCGTACCGACGGGCGGACAACATTCGGTATTGGACTAAGGCTGCGGAAATCCGGTGGGAAACGAAGTTAGAAATGGATGTGATGGGGGTGGTCTACGGGAATAGTGATGAGGCTTGGAGGAAGTTTGACACAGCCCTCCTTACTTGGTGCAAGGCAGTTCGCGAAGAGCTGATGCGAGATTGGCGGGGGGCTGATTCAGGGAAGGCCGATGCAGTGCCTCCTCATGACGGGGTGGGCGTCGACCCTGCGTGAAGGACGCGATCGGTATGAAGGAGAGTTTTGGTGCCTGATGGCTGGGACCACGTACTGTAGTATTCTGGGCTCCCTATTACGTTTGTTTGCTGTCCACTTTGATACCCCTTACTTGCTGGAGACTTGCTTGCTATGTGGGAGTTTTTTTTTTTTTATCCGATGGATTTTCTCTTCTCTGGTGGCTCATATTTATATACTTCTTTTTGGCTGAGTTTATGGTCAATCTTGCCACTTTTGTCACATTTGTCTCTTCTTTTTTATTTCTCTATATTTAATTTTCTTTCAACAACTATCATGATTTTGGGGATATGCCTAAAATGATTATTTCGGAGTTCCAGTTGGGTTCCCATGGGACGTGTACATAACAGAAGAGACTCAGTGTGTGGACGGTACCAAACATACCATGAATTACATACCTGACCACGGGTTGTTTTTTCAAGGTTTGTTTTGATTATACATGTGAAGAAACCGGTAACATAAAAATGAATGGTGAATTGAGGAATTTCACAACATGAGAGAAAAGGGAAATAGAAGAAAAACAAGAGAGAAAAATAGCCGAAAGTAAAAGAGAAGAAAGAAGAATCCTAAAATTGAAAAAGAAACAAGACAACGACCTTACCTGGAAGGGGAAATATACACTACTAGTGGTGTTCTCCTGAAGGACGATCAACGGCTTCCGGAAAACAAGGGAGAGATGGAAAGTGTCATTCCGATTTCATACCCTTTTTTTTTTTTTCTAATTTCCTTTTAATTTAATTTTCCCAATTTCAACTTGCGGTCTTTTAAGGTTCCCTCCGCCGCCAGATTACCCGCTGCCCAAACCAAAGAAAACCAAAAAATACCACCTCAACAACTAACAACAACTACTCGTCCTACTACTACTACTACTTTACTGACTTACCATGTAGCCGATCATTTGTATCGCCCCCAATTGTTATTTTTTTTCAAGAGGACTCACGCCCGTGGACTATTCTTTCAACTCGTCTGACTGCACATAAATACTAACTAGTGGCTGGCTTACTAGTCTGATATATTTTATTGTTCTTTATTTATACTTGCAGACAACCAACAAAACAAGCGACCAGAGAAAGGGGGAGGGAGTGACCGTCTTGCATACCAACAAATTCCACCCCCAAGAACCCAAAGACGCGCCCAAAGAACGTTGATTTGCTCCAACCACATTCCACGCTATCTTCACACTACTGCACCAACACAAACAGACCACCAGGGCGGTCGCCCCCGTCAATACGTACCATGTTCACCACGTCAACTGTCACAACTGCACCCACCCACCCGGATTCCGGTCCGAAGACGCCCACGACATCGTCATTATCGCACTTGCTATCTTCTCCCCCTCCTCCTCCACCTCCCGCCGTCGCCGTCTCTCCTCCAGAGAATTCATCGCCGCGACGAATCAAGTCGAAATCATCCCTGCGCAGTCTCCGCAGTCTTGGAAGTCTTGGGAGTAGCTTTCACGACGACGATCTCGACGATATCCACGATCAGCCTGGGTCGGACAAATCCCTCATTCGTCCCTCCATCCTTCGCCGCTTGTCTCCTGGTCTAGCAGCGCGCGTCAAGCTATTGGATGGGAGTCACAAGACCGCGACTCCCACTCGCAGCCCAGGTGCCGTTGGTCGGATCCCCGAGGAGCATATCAAGGAATTAGATAGCCGCAACAAAGACCATTCGATCAAGATTGAAAAGCGAGGCCGGTCGTGGAATGGTGTGCATTTTGGTGGTAAAGGTAGACAACCGCAACAGACTGAGTCGACCTACCTGGAGGTTCACGACCCGGACATAGAATTGCCTTTCCCCGTGGAGTCAGAACCGGTAGAACCTGTCGAGGAAAGCTTTACGTCGGTCGCAGACCAAGATCCCGTCGAAGAAACACTCGTCGATCAAACACCAACACCAGACGCCAGCCCAACCCGAGAAGTGGAAGAAGTGGAGGAACCGGAAGAAGCTCCAGTGGCCATGGCTGCCGTTGCGTCTCCGCCAGCGCCAGTGGACATCGAATCAGGTGCTCCCCATAACACACAGGTCGAACATGTCCAAACAGATTTCGAGAAGTTCATCCAAAGTACTGGTGACAACGAAGCTGAGCAACCCCCGCAGCCTCCACCAAAAGACTCGCCGCGTCCCCCGTCGGCCAATTCGAACGTACAATCCTACTTTAACCCCCAGGGCTCGCAGCGTCCCGAATCAATATACTCCTTCTCTCGCGCGTCCTTCAGTCACCAGCTAACCCAGCTTACTTCCATCCCACTGCCCCAACCATCGTCCCTAGAAGCCAGCATTGCCGCAATACCAAACGCGCCATTGGCTGTCAAATCTCTCACTGGGTCCGCATCGCAAATTCAGATATGGATAAAAAAGGCCTCCGATGTGTTAAGTGGTCTCGATGCGGAAGACGAAGTGGAGTGGGCGGCAGCAGGCGGACGAGAAGGGCTAGACGGGATCGACAAAGCAATTACGCGGTTCGAAGGTCTGATGAACATTTATGTGAAAGCTATTGAAGATGTGCAGCTCCGAGACGACATTGGCGACGTTAGTGCCGACAGTTTGAAGACCATTGTGATCCAGATGGACGGTATATTACAAAGCTGGGCAGATATCAAGAATCGACTTCGAAATGTGAAGGAACAAGTGGAGCTGGCCATGGAATGGGAGGAGCTCTGGAATACCATTCTGGGAGATGTCAGCGCCGAGGTTGAGAGTCTGAGCCGACTACTCTTCGAGATCGAAGAGAAGCGACACATCAACATGGCAAATGCATGGGCTGCTGAACAGGAGTCGAATAGCTCTGGGCTCGATATTAGCGAGTTGGAGACCATCGTCGAGGAAACACCAAACAACGGCAGTTTTTCGAATAGTAACCGACATAGTATCTTATTCGATGCGCCACCGACCCTGGATACCCCGCTCATCCAAACCCCACAGGATGACTCGGAGCATGCGGACCTCATCGCTGTATTTGCCCGCATACAACCCTTGCGGGCATCCCTTGCGTTCTTGCCCATGCGGTTGTCCATGTTTCAATGCAGAGCGGAGAGGATTTTCCCCAGCGCCTGTGCGGAGATGGAAGAGCGGCGAAAAGGGCTAGAGCAGAGCTATAGGACCCTGGAGGCAGATGCGGAAGCTCTGCGGAAGGAGTTCAGTGAGGACCGGTGGGTTCTTGTTTTCCGCAATGCCGGCATGCAGGCGCGGAAAATGTTCCTGTCGGTCGAACGAAGCATTGCCAAGTTGCAAGAAGCCCTTGAAACAGGTGCCCATGTGCATAACCCGGCGGGACTAGCGAAGCGCGTTGAGAGTTACGAGGCCAAAAAGCAGCACTACATCCCTGCCATCGAACGAGTCATATCTCTTATTGAGAAGGGGGTGAAGGATCAACTGACGGTGAATGGTGAGACGGTGAACCTCCTGTCAGACATGGCGTCGAGGATGGATGCGCTGAAAAGGAGCGTGGAGGTGATGGATTCATCGCTTACGGAATTCAACGTGGCCCCGGGCCAGCACTTGCGCGACTCCATATCAACCATTGTCACCATGGACAGTCCCGCCACTAGTCTTATTGACACTCCTGGCAGCTCCCCACCCTCATCGGTGGTCATGACCCCTGCTAACAAAGGCTCGGGTGCTTCTTTGGGAAGCTCTAGCAGACGGGGCAGTTCTGTGGGCTCAGTCGCCCGGAGTACCGTGGCCAAGGTTCGACGATACTCAGGGATACCCCAGCCCACGGCAACCTTGACCAGCAAGAAATCGGCGATCCCGAAACCGACGCTGACGGCCCCATCTCCCTCCAAGCCAAGTGGTCTATTCACACCTACTCCGGCTGCGAAGAAGGTGCCACGCCTGCCTCCACCTGCCAAAGACAATCGCCCACGATGGAATTCGAGTGTGAACACCAATGATCTGGAAGTCGGCCATGTCTACAAATCGAGCACATCATTCCGCAAGTCCTCGGCTCCAAGCCGCACCTCCCGTCCCTTATCAATGATGTCCCGTCGGGACCTTGCTGCATCTCCCGCCCCCTCAACAACACGGTCCCCCAGCCGTGTCTCCAGCCGCGTTTCAAGTCGCCTTGCATCACGCAGCCCTAACCGCTCTGGTTCTCCCACGCCCAACCGTTCCCTCCTCGACCCTCCACCTTACAGCAAGCTTCGACGTGCGCCGGGGGCGGAAGGCATCAACAACACCCCTCGAAGCCGACAAAGCTTTGCCGGGCTGTCATTCGGCCGCAGTGTCTCACACGATTATAACCGTGGCCTGCTCAGTCCCACCAAGGCTGAACGCCCGGGCACTGCACTGGGTCATGGGGGCAGTCGTCGCATCAGCTTGCTTCCTTTGCCGCGAAACAAAAGCGGCCGGGATAGCAGTGCGGGCACTCATAGTAAGCTGAGTGAACGTCCACCGTGGCGATAAATTGTTCGAATCTGTCTGCGACGGAGTCTTTTTCACCGTATCATAACCACCCTCATCATCATCATCATCATCATCGGATTCTGTTTTATGTACTATTTCACTTTATACTCGCATATTTATTGCCCCTGTATTATGTGCATTGCGGTTCGGGTACTTTGTGGTGTCGCCATATACCATATCGTTGCGGGTCAGACTGGTTTTCTTGATTCCCCACTCGCATTGTGATTGAGATTAGCGTTCTTGTATGGTGCATGGCATTGTTTTTGATGAAATGTTTTTTTTTTTTTTTTTACTCCAGCTTTTTCTCAGCATTTACCAATTAATTGTATTTGATATAGCCAACAGGACCTTTAACTAAGACTTTCAATAAATCTCACATGCCTTTCAGAACGTATTTAAACATTCTCTTCATGAGTAGAAAAAGCAATCACCCTAGAATAACAGTTAATACTATATTAAGATAACCCAAGCAAAGATACTCACTGGATCATTCATCGTCCCCATAATCCAACAATGCTCGAGAAGATGTAACCCAATGGATTTATTCGATCTATAAATCTATATACAAAACCACCCTACCTAAGCCATCATACTTCCCTGATAAATACTCATCTAAACCAACTCCCTCCCAATAATCAACGCATCCACCAACTCCTCACTATTCGCCAACCGCGCTGCCCCAGGCACGCGACCAATGATCTTGAACCCCAATCGCTCCCAGATCTTAACGGACGCAACATTGTTCTCAAAGACCAGGTTAAAAACAGAGTATTTGTAACCCTAACGCCAGTCAACACCCACACATACACACAAAACCAAGGTTTGACAGCAAAAGAAAAAAGAACTTACCAACTTCGGGGCAAACTGCAAATACGTCTCGCCCATGACGATACCCACTCCACGGCCTCGCGCAGCAACTGTAGTCAGGAATCCTGCATTGCAAACATGCGAACATCGACCTGTATATATAGAACAATACCATATCAGCACTCGCATACTCACTCACACCTCACACTCAATATACCCTTCCACTCCCCACTCCCCCTCAAACAAACAAACACAAATCACCCACCCCCCTCCCAAAAAAAAAAGAAAGAAAAGGAAAACGAACCAGGATAATTAGGCTTAATATAAAAAGTCCCCAAACACTCCTTCTCCCAATCCCTCCCCTCCCTCAACCCCCCATTCTCATTCTCCTCCCCAAGAACAGCCACAACAGCAAAAGTCCCAAACCAATACTCCGCGAAACGCTCCAACGTCATCGGCTCCTCCATGGGATACGTACACCCGGCCTGAATCTCGGCGCTGAACTCGCGGTGGAGCAAGGCGACCAGGTCTGCAGGGATGCTTTGCGGTCCATTGGCAATTGGGTATAGGGTTACGGGGGAGCCGTCTTTCAGATGAGCGGATCGGGGGGTTAGGGTTTGGGAGGCTTGGAGGGCGGGTTGTGGTGGGGTCTTCGAGGATTGAGGGCATTTTCTTGTTTTTTGTTTTCTTTCCTTTGTTTCTTTTTCTTTTTTGTTTTTCTTGTTTGGTTTGGTTTTGGTTCTTGTGTAGTTTGGGAGTTGAATTTGGGATTTACTGGGATGGGTTCTGGGATAAGTTCTGGGGAATTGAAGGATGTTGTAGATTGCTATTTCTGGGGTATATAAAAGTTTAACTGGTTCTTATCGTGTGATTAGTCATTGATTCCTTTTTTTTTTTTTTTTTTTCTTTATGGTGCATGTTTTGGGAAGGGCGTGAGCCGGATATGGTGTTGATTGGTGGGGGTTTTAGAATAGCCGGATGCATGTACTTTTTCTTTTCTTTTCTTGGTTTACTTTAGATTGATTGTATTTTGGATATACTACCATTATTGATATATGCATATGTCAATGCACTATGTATGCATGTGTACTGTACATTACTGTTTCAGATATAGTTATAGTAACCCTTACATGGATTCGATTTATCTAGGGAGTATATGTATATACTGCCAATAATATAATATAGTACATTCTATTATACACCAGAACCCTGTTCGTTGACTGCATGTCTAGCACGTCCTTATCCGGACCATATAATATCCAGCATGGTGCCCCTCCTATCCCAAGCCACTGTAAGGTTTGGGAATGGTCTATCAGCGTCGTACCATATCCCAATATACCCTTCCGACATTGGGGGATACGATGGACAAGACAATTCAATAGTCATAGAGTATCGTGAAAACACCCTCATCCACTCATTTTTGCTCACCCTCACCCTCGCCCTCGCCCTCCGTGTTCTTGATAGCGTTCATGAGCTCGTATAATTGGCCGATTTGCTGGTCTATATAATACCATCGTTAGCCTGACATACACCCAAAAGAGGAAAAAGAACGAGTAAGAAAAAGAGATAGGAAGTAGTAAAAAAACATACCACTCATCTTATCCAACTTATCCTTATCCAATTTCTCCCCAACCCAGGTATCCCCCTCCAACTTCTGGGCATATAATTGCCACTCCGTCAAGAACCCGATCTATATTCGTTTCAGCAATATTAGCTTTATGTAACCCCACAGAGCATATACATAATAAGAGAAAGAATTAAAAAAAAAATAAAAACATACAATATGCAACGGATTCTCCACGTTCCTGTGGGCCCTAAACTCGCTCTTCAGGTAAGAGTCGCCGAGGATGCGCATCTCGGGGTCGAGTTTCTTGCGGTGGACGCGGAGGATGCGGCGGTAGAGTTGGAGGGGAGGGAGGAGGGCGAGAGCTTCGCTGAGGCTGGATTTGGAGCCCATGGTTGAGGGTGTGGCCATTAAGAGGCGGGATAAGGCGCGCATTGTGGTGGTTTGGTGTAATTGGGACTTGGGGTTGGTGTTGGGTTAGAGGAGAGTCGATACTGATGATGCTGATGATGATGATGATGGTACTTGTATTGCCGCGGTTCGACGGAGGCGGAGAGTGATTGGCCAATTGGAGGGCTGGGATTAGGCTTTTTTATCGGGTTATCTGATTGAGTCGGAAGTTCAATTGTTGCATTTATTTAGGATCATTGGTATAACTACTAGTATATTTGCTACGATTTGTTTCATGGTACATGCTGGTCATTCTATTGACGGCTGTTTTTATATTCATAACTGGGTATATTGAGTGATCAATGTCAACTGGTGTGTGAAGTGTGAATAGAACAAGGGAAATACATGAAAATGCTCCCCACTCCGTGCACATCCCACGTTTCCTTCGACACCATTTACGAACCCTCCGAAGACTCCTACCTCTTCCTCGACACCCTCGCCTCACCGGCCGAGTCAGTATGGCTCACTCAGCGCTTCAACGCTACCCCTTCGTCCCCAGACCAATCCACCGCCTCCCCATTAGTCGTTGAGATTGGAACCGGCTCGGGAGTCGTGCTCGGCTTCGTAGCAGCCAATTCGCAAGTGATCTTTGGACGACGTGATATCCTCCCTCTAGGAATAGATGTGAATCGGAATGCCTGCATCGCGACCCGTGAAACAGCCAATAAAGCAATTAAAGAACGACAAACTGATACCGAATCAGAAGAAGCCAACAGTCAGAAGACAGTGTATTTGTCCTCGGTCATGGCCGATCTAGGGAGCTCCCTTCGCCCAGGCAGTGTGGATGTCCTTCTGTTCAATCCGCCGTATGTGCCCAGCGAGGACCTGCCACGGTTACCCTCCGTCACGGAACAGGATGTCGACGAGACGGGAATGTCGAGGTCTGCCAAGTTCGAGCGCGACTCGTACTTCTTGTCGCTGACGTATGCCGGTGGAAGAGATGGGATGGAGACAACGGATCGGTTGTTGGATGAGATCCCGGGGTTGTTGGCTCCTGGCCGTGGGGTGGCATATGTGCTGTTTTGTGCGCAGAATCGGCCGCAGGGGGTTAAGGAGAGGATAAGGGCTTGGGGGGATGGATGGCAGGCAGAGACGGTTGGGAACAGTGGTCAGCAGGCTGGGTGGGAGAAGTTGGTTATTGTTCGGATATGGAAGGAAACGGCGTGATCTGGTGATGATGATATGATAGAGTACGGATATACAGAGATCAAAAAATAGAGCAATATAGACTAATGACCGATATGACTGATGATTGAGTGATGTTTTACAGGCCGGTGGACGTTGTTATCCGTCACATATTCTTTTCCAAAGTTTTATCATATTTCTGCGAGATAATCGTTTTCAAGTGTCGTATAGCAGACCATGCCACTTATACTTCTTTAGATGTCGATCCATGGATCCTCCCATCAACGCGTATCAGCTTGCAGCAATGTCCGATGATCTCGCTCCCTCGTTCATGCGTGATAAAACCCACACTTCCCCCGCGACAAGAGCCTAATCATGCCTTGAGCTTGCACGAGACCCGAGGTATGGCTGTCTGTCAAATCGTGTCAAAAAAACAATCGCATACGAGGACCGATAGTCTCGCTGATTTCAAGCGCTCCCTCTGCCGCTGATGCATACGACCAGAATCCGACAAAATTTATGAAAAAGAAAGAAAAAAAAAGGTAAATTAGAACTCTCTTTTTTCCCGCCCATTGCACAAAGGAATAATAGAAGCTGAACCCTCGAGGTGCAAAAATGAAACCATCGCAGATATCACCCAAAACGAATCAAATCGGAAGAAGAGAAGAACTCCTAGCCATTGTCTATGTTCCCGTTTAGAATCCACGTCCACGTCCCCGGCCGCGTCCACGGCCCCTGCCGCGAGGGCCACCACGGCCGCCGCCGCGAGCGCCGCGGTCAGCTTCCTTGCGCGCCTTGTTCTTAGGCTTCGGCTGGTCGTCGACAAGGAGGGTATCCAGTGGCAGACTGTCCGGGAGAATGTAGTAGCGGATCGTCGAGCCTCGGATGTTGATGGTGTCGAGCGAGATAGGGTCGCGGCCCTTGGGGGTCATCTTCACGGTGCGCAGTGCGGTGTTCATCTGCGGGGAAACCGAGGTGATTGTGCCATGGAGGATTGTGCCTGGAGGTCAAGTGTTAGAAGGGACAGGAAAGAAAAGACGTCTGACGGGACGTGTGCGATTGTAATCGGTGGGATTGCCAGAGCTGCGGCAGGGAGAGACTGACCATTCTTCAACTCAATAGTCACCGTCTCATTGGCGCACTTCATCAAAAACCTGGAAGCAAACCATGTCAGTATCAGTCGGCTAGCTTACGGTTGCGAATTGCTTGTGGAAACAGCTCTTCAACAGCTTGGGGCAACATACCGGACGAGCTTCATGGTGACGGTTACGCGCAAAACGCCGAAAAATCAGGTCGAAGAAAGAATGCTCGTATTAATATGAGTATTAATACAGACTTAATATCTGAACACTGGCGGGTTGGGCGGGACCAGATGTACCTTCAAGCCTTGCGATTGCTGTCTTGCGGCGGTGATTGCAGAGGTGGTTCATGCTTAGTCATCCACTCTCACGTTACTCATAACTAACTAGTCCGGACATTAATCGCATAGCTTAGTCATACGATGCATAGAAGGTGACAAGAGGTTCTACACAGTATACTACTAGTAACTTAATGCAGTCCTTGGGCAAAAGATTCCAGAAATAAAAGCTTCTATTGATGTGTCTACCAAGCGTACACGCCAGAGAAGCATGTGATGCAGCAGCGTTCATTCTCATAACCCGAAACATGCAACATCACACCAGCATCAAATAGATAGACAGATATATGAATTCTACTCTGCCCCCCAGTCCGATCAAATGGTATCTCAAAGGTCACAAGGAAAATAATAATCCTGAGGAAGTGAAAGAAAGAGAAGTAATCCAATGAAACCACCCAACACCATGCCAGTGACAATAAACACGCTCGCAGGTCATAGAACTCCATGTCGTGCCTTGAAGATGGAGATCTTATCATCGTAAAATAGAATTTCCCGTAGCCGAAAAGCCACGCGCGATTTGCTGCTCTCGAGATCGGAGTCGTATCCATCAGATGAACTGTGGTCGTCTGACGAGAGTTCTGAGTTTGACTCTATGGCGCTCCCGGCGCCGCCGTCATCCGAATCATCATCGTCTGTGTCAGACGGTGCCCAGTCATCACTGCCTGGCACAAAGCCTTCGCTGTGGCTGTCGTCCGCATCATCAAAGTCGTCTTTCTCACCACGCTTGCCCTCAAGGATTTCGTAGCACTTATTGATCATGCCAATGTAGCTTATTCCAACTTCGGTGCGAATAGTGATAATATCAAGGATCTGTAATGCGAGTTCCTTCGGGTCTCGGTGAATAGGATTGGTTATGTGAGGAATATGGAGGGCGCGTAACTGGGGCATATTGGGGAGCCTCTGGAGAAAATAATGCTAAAGAGAGTCAGCACGGGATTAACCACCTAGTGTTGAGAGAGACAAATTTACCCAGTCCTTGGAATGCATCGTCATCGATAGTTCGCGCAGCCGCGGCATACGGCCGCTAGTAATGAAGGTGATCATTTCCCGGGTGAACATCCACTTACGCCAGCGATTAGTGCTAATTTCGATTCCACCAGGTGACCGCTCTGTGCTATCAACTAAGATGTGTTTCAAACTTGTTCGATGGTTACGGATCACATTTCGATAGATAGCGTCAACATGTACGATAGAGTCGTACATCGGAGCCTCATGCAAAAACAAGGTCTCCAGTGTATTAGGCGCAATGGCATCCTTGATAAAGAGTAACAGGTATGGGGATACAGCATCTGTGTGAATATGCTTGAGCTTTAGAGAGTACTCCGAGGAGGAGCTATTTACGTCTTTATTTTCTGGTTTTGGACTACCGCGCAGTGCAGTGGACGGAGAAAACTGGCGACGGAGCGCTCTCCAGAGCTTTTCATGACCATCGCAGCGAAGGATTGTCAGGGTCGTGATCCGGGTCCAGTCTATCGCGTGCATCATGACTGGGATGGACAAAGAGACGCGCTCTAGTTCCAAGACCTCCAACTTCAATCTGTCAGACTTAGGGCTAGTCGCTGAGGCGGATGTAAAGGGCTTGTTGATGCCGATACACTTGCTTGATGGTCCTGGTAGATCTCCAAGTCTAGATGGTTGTGTGGGATATGGCTCCTCGGTCACTTGGGGAGATGTCACACTGTCCATTCTAGAAGCGCCGGTGGTTTTGGGAGAGTGCTCTAGAGGTCCTGTATCCGGAAGTTGTGTAGTCGAATGTCCACTCGAAGTGCCGTTACTAGCAATATCCCCAGCTGGCGGAACCGTCCCGCTAAGCCCCTGGTGACTGCCATGCTGACCCGGCTGCACTTCTTTTGAGGAAGGCTGATCGGCTGCTAGTTCAAAGGGAAATTGAGTGTGGGGATTACCAAGGAGGACACCGAGTACACCGCCAACTTTAGGCCAACCGGACACCACAGGGTTGGACGCGTCTTGTTGCACAGGAGACCAGCCTCCTAATGCTTTTAACCAATTATATTGGTAGACTCTCGAGGAAATCCCGATGCGTAGTTCTTTTAAGCGCCCCCGTGAGCGCTCAATGAGTACAGCCATTTCCTCGATATATGATGACTCATCTATATCGAGAACGCTTAAGCTCTTCAGTGGGGGTAAGATCGAAAGAGTAGGATACTCTACATGGGCGTAATTTTGTAGACGCGTTGATCTAGCGGATGGAGAGATAAAGGGAGACGGCATGCCCGGTAGTGTCATGTCTGATGGTGTCCGAACTATGCGTATCATGGAGTTATCGTGCCAACGAACCCAAACACGTTCCAGACGGCATTCATGTCCCGGTCGATCTGCTAAAGATGACAGCGCTATCCAGACGTCCCGCAAAACGCCAGTCGGCATATCCCAAATGAAAGACTCTAGGTTTATCATGCGAGCGATTGCCAACGCTACCAGAGTTCCCAGCATTTTGCCCGTTTCTTTCGTCACAGAGTACTCTTGGACACACTCTGGCGGTCCATTGCCCACAGAAAATTTGCGTGTATACTGCGCATAGTGATTCCCTCGACGTATCCTCCGTATGCCATCTGCCTCAAGTCGGGAGCCTTGTTTAACATGCTGGGCGCTACAGCCGCAGTGATGGCAGGGCGCAACGGGACGGTGGGGTGGAGGAAGCTCGTGAAAAACATCTTCGCCCATTACTAATGTTGCTAATCCGTAAGAAAGAGCATCGACACCCGTGGGATGGACAGACGGTGACATTGGTTCTGGCCATACGATATCAAACCGAGAATACATTTGAGGAATCGCTAAAGCATGCAGACTGGAACATGTTAGAGCTAGCGAGGTGAGGTCGTTGGTATGCGTCACCTATATCGTTAAAGATGGCTATAATTAGCAACAGAGGGGATAGGGTGATCTAAAAGGAAGTCGACCCGTGCTTACTTCTTTAATGATTACCTGCAATATATCCATGGGTAGGTCAAGCAAATGCAGAGGCCGTCTGATAACCCCCAGAGCTTTGTCATCGCGTACGAAGTTATTTTCTACCGGTTCCACTCCGGACCTCTCAACTTCCTGAGCCCGCAAGCTGTTCGAAGATGATATTGCTGTGGAGTCACCCATGGTCCCCTGTTGGCAATTCATGGATTCTAATGCAGGTTGCTTGTACTCCAGGAGATGCTCTTGACCCCCCTCAGAAGTCGTGCTCGCACTTGAAAGAAACTCATCGTCGTCATCCGAGTGCTGAGTTAAGTCGGTGCTGATTCTAAAACCCGCGTACGCGCTGCTGGCCTCTGCCATGTTATTGACAGATGAGGTCATTGCGTACTAGTAGCTGCGCACAGATACTCGAGATAGTTATGGGACATTACAAGGCCAACACAAACAAGCGAAGGAGAAGGTAGCAGTGCCAGTAAGAAGATCGTCCTCCTTACGTCGCGATAGCTCCTGATTGTTTGATGCGGAATCTGGCGGGTCAAATCCGGGGTAAAACGAAGTAGGTAATATTAATGAGCTGAGGTTGCGGCGGCGGGAACCACCAAATGGCTCGTACCACAGAATGATGCCTATCCAATCAAACCCGGTCAAGTTTCAGACACTTCAGAAGTACCCATGAGGGACAAATCGTTCCACAACCGTTCTGGTCAGGAGAACTTCGTATATTGCACAGTATCGTCGAGAGTCGAGCAAATTTAGTGGGTTGTGGAAGGAATGCCGACTTCTTTGTTGGTCAAGTTTGGGGTCATCCGTGAGCCTGAGGTCATTTAAAGTCACACTAACAGCGGCACGTTCGCCGCCTTGGGCCGATCAGTCACCTTTCCCCACACCGCACGTGCCAGTTGCTTAGTTCTACAAATATAGTACCTAACCGAGTGCACTACATTCAAAGCATTCATACAACAGTGTGTGAATTGAACAAAAAGAAGAAAAGGAAAAAAGCCCTAAGCATGTAACTACATGATCTTCCTACATCTGATAACTTTGATAGCCAACAGAGGCTCTTATCATTTACTGGAATTTGCGGTGGAAACCACATCACAAATTCGACCAACAAACCCCTCAAGTCCAGAAGGTAAGCCTGAGCCATGTGCAGAAGCCAAAGCAGCCGATGCCCCTGGCATGAGAAGTATGCGAGACCCAACTTCAACCCATTCGACTGACGTCACGAAGCAACATGTAATCTTGACATCCCTAACATTTGAATTGGCCGAAGACCTGATCATATGGTTGAGTTCGGATTGGTCACTTTTATCGCGATCATTCACATCGCTATCAAAGCTGAAGAACTCAGGTTCTGTTGGCGATGGAGGTGAAGAGACGACTTCATCATCAGCAAGTGCCATACAAGTCACTTTTACTGTGGACCGAATGTTGGCAATGTATACGATCGCATTCCCTCCCAGAAGCAGTGGTGGGGATAGCGAGGAAGCGAACTGACTAGAGTCAAAGCTAGCGACAAAGCCTGTGTGGAATAATAGCGATTTGGGAATGGAGTTGGCAGGCGGTGCTGGAAAGCTGGCCAGGATGATTCCTTTCCGAACCCTGCCAAGCCGAGGAGGTGGCTCGTCTTGGGAACTAGGGAGGGGCTCCACGCCTACTGTGCCTACTTGGTCTTCAACCAACTTCCGGACGGGCAATCGGAGGTTCCGAACACTGACTACGCGAACACGCTGCCAGTGTGCTTGAGTTGGATAGGGTATCTTTCCCGGAAAGGATCCTTGAACAAACGAGGTGGAGAAGTCCCCCGATGATGGCCTACTCCGAAAAGGTTCAGACTGGGGCTGGGCGTCTGAGCGCCGCTCTGAACGAACCCTACCTCCATGTTCCAGTAGGGCGTTGTCAAGGAGAGGTCCGATGACCAGCTCGTCACCTATTGAAATTGATCCGTAGCGGACCAAGCCACAGAGAACCACCCCGTGGTTCTCCTTTGAGGACTGTTCCGCGGACATTGAGTAGACTTTCGACGGAGGGATGGCAAACACTTCGTCAACATCGAAAATGTTTGTGGGAAGTGACGGTGGTGGTAGTGCCTTCGACGGGGAAATGGTTCGGAGTGATGGTCTTGCAGGGATTGGGAGATATCCCAGCAAAGCATGTAACCTCCCTATTCCCGAGCCATCGACAGCACTTGTGAGGATTATTGGGACGGTGGAAGACCAGTTCTCAGTAGTAGCGATCAGCTTCTTGATTTCCATACTATCCTTTGGTCCGACCTGATGCAGGTCTAGTGAAGCCTCAGAACTGCCGGGTTGTACGGGCAGCATGGCGGGCTTTTTGCCGGAAAGTTTCAACGCCGATAGAACTTTCGTAAGATTTTGTTTCAAGCTAGCGCGAGACGCAAGGTCCATCTTAGTAATGACCACTACTGTAGGGATCTCTAACTTATTGCAGAGGTCGAGGTGCGACAATGCCAAGTTGATATCGGTAGTTTGCTCCGCGGAATCAGGCTGAGGCTCCTTTGTGGTCACATCGTCACAATTTGCCGGGATACACAGAAATACATAGTGCGGAGCCCAGCTGACCAGACCCCGAAGGGTAGACTTTAGATAACGAACTGATCCCGGGAGGTCAGAGACAAATGCTAGACGTCCCTGTGCCGAGGCTGCATGTACATCGTCCCACGCTGCAACATTGCCCGATGAATAATTGACCACCTCGAGGGTATCCTCGGACACTCCATTAGCGGCGTACCCTATCAGTTCATGTGCAACTGAGCTAGTGACTCCGGAAGAAATTTCATGCCGATGCTTGAGTAGACCAAGTCTGCTGGTGCCTCTTCCATTGTCAAGGACAGATGAGGTCAGTGTGCCCAAAAGCGACGATTTTCCAGCTGTAGTTGGGCCAGTGATGGAAATGCGTATTTGCTCCGTTTTGGAGTGATCGCCCTCCAATATTCCTTGTCTGGCCGCCAGTGACGGTGACTTGCCCTCGTGGGAACCATTCTTTGGCGATTCAATTCGGTAATAATCCCAATCCGGACTCACTAAAGCCTCAGCAACCCAAAGGTCTTCCGCATGAACTTTGCCAACTTCAGCATTTGGCGTACATGCGTCCTCGGTCCACTCGCAACTCCCAACGATTACCCGGCGAAGAATTTCAACCTTGCAACCAAGGCTACCAGCCATCACCTGTAAATTCAGCAGACTCTCTTCCAGCTCGTCGTAAGTGAGTCCCACAAATGTGCCATCGTCGGCAACTCCGATCTCGTACAGAGCACCCTGGCTCTCCTCAAGACCAGGGAGTAAGCGAGCCGGTTTCTGAGGGATACCAAATTCCAATGCTGCCTCTGGGAGAACGGGGAGCACAAGATTGGCAGCGGTGGACGAATGGAAAGGCGATGACTGCTGTAAGCGCCACAGAAGTTGAGTTGTCAATTGCTGCAATCTTTGCTGACGGCTCTGGGTAGAGCGAATTTGGAACTGTTTCGAGGCTGAATCATAACTGGAAGATGTTGGAACCGAGGTTGACAAAGGCAATCGGGAGTGATAGGAACCACCAACGAGATGACCGGTGGACATAGCTGTGTAGAGTCTTCTTGCTCGAAGAAGAAGATGCAGCTTGTACTCAGTTGGTCCTTCTTGTGGCTCCGGCTCTAATTTCGTAATGCCGTAGTCAGATAAGAAATTGGGATCTGGACGATCCAGATTGGTAGCGGACTGATTCCGAGTCACACTACGGCCCCCTGTCCCAGCTACCTGTGGAGTGGAGGATCCGGAGGTGGACCACGGTGAAGAGACCCTTGGAGGGTCAGGATCGTAAGTAAAGATGGACGCCATACTTCAGGCTTTTCAAGGCAAAGTATATCAAAAGCACGCCGTGGTTCTGAATCGGAACAACGTGATGAAGCGAGCGGTTGAACAGATAATGACTCAGATAGGTACCAGGCTAGACCGAGGTATGCGAGGAGGTAATAAACAGTGTAAGTGCCAGCAAGCTTGGGATACTTTACATAGGTTGTAGAATGCTATTGATAATCGAGTCATCTTGGGGTCCCAGAATATTGATGTTAGAGATGTAGTTGTGGGCGCAATTGGCCGGAAGCTAGACAAGTCCTTCCAAAGAGAAGGTCCTGGAAAGTCATACAAACATAGGCAGTTGACACTTAAAAGGACGCCGACGGCATGGTGGAGAGCATACAGTGAGTCACTTGGTGGTCCCTGAGGAATTAAGGCATCCCATCGTCCTTGTACTGCATGACACGCTACGGTCAGGTGATGCGTGATGTAAGCATGTGAGGGGCCACGTGGTGGTTACGCGCCTGAGGCATGATGCGAGCATCTCGAGAACATGCCGTCCCTGACCTGCGAATACAGCCCTTTCTCTTCCTTCCGGAGAGAAACATGCATTAACAAAGAATTTGGCTATTAAAATCAGTACTTAGGTTCTGCACGTATCAAACCCGAAATATTAGATGAGATCTTTGAGCGCGTAGATGGTTCGCGACTATGCTTTGGAATTGTATAGTGTAGGCTTAGCCTGAGAAGAAAGTATGTACAATGTATATCACTATATCTGTCAATTTAGTGTACCCTTACTCCACCATGCATATAGATAGGAATGCAGAGCTGTCTATATATCTCTTGCAGACTCGCTAAATCCTTGTCATGAGAAGGATTCGAAAATTCGTTCCCTGTTCTAGGCTCCCCATGGCGCCGAACTCCGCTCCTGGAAGGGTATCGAGGGACGAGCTTGTTTCGCTGCAGTCATTTGACAGTGACTTTGAAACAGGCAACGTGGTGCTCCGAGTTGAACAGTATTGTTGTAGAAGTAGGCCGCTGGGATTCGATGGAGAATCCATTCCGCCACGGGCGCAATCATCACTCGCTCGACGTTTCCCTCCCTCCACCTTTACATTTCCCTTGAGAGACATGAATATTTCGAGCTGTTGTTCGCGTAAATACTGCACCACAGCTGGGGCATTCTGCTTTGGCAACCACGCCTGACTTTTCCCTTTGATGACGGAGTAAATTGCTAAACGTTGAAAATTCACGGCCGTTGCATCCGTGATCCCAACATTGCGGTTTCGGTCGGAAGCTGATGACGCGGACTTGCTGTTCTGGGTCTGAGCCTGACGGTGCTGTATCGGGAGACGAGTATACTGTTCCTGGTGTCATTATATGTTGTGACTGAGGGCTCACTGCTAAAGAGCTTGGATTTGACCTGGAACTTTGTTTGTCAGTGTACAAGTTCGAGTGGAAGCGAGTAGGGATGTGACTGACGATAGTGAAGGAGCGTGGGAGTAATAATATTCTTGATGATTAACTAAGTAAGAGGGAGGCCTAGAAGCTAGTCAGTGTCGTGACTTCCTTTTAGATACCCTGGCAACCTTACGATGAAGTAAACGAATGTTCCGCTATTGTTGGAGGGCTGCCTGCAATGTGGCTGTTGGGAAAGGAATATGGAATGGAAGAACTATACAATGCTACAAGTCAGTAACTTTTTGTCTAACGAGCCGTGGTTGTAAGAAGATGGCCTACCTTCGGGGATGCTGTCGGCTCTGAAGCAGACCTGGATGTGGCGAGCAAAGATATTGAGGTGCCGGAATTCCGGGCTGATAAAACCCTTGCGTTGTGGCCTGCGGAGGATGATATCCGACATGGTATCCAGTCGATGGTGGGAGAGTCTGTGGTTGGGGAAACGGTTGTTGGTCCATCGCCATCGAGGAAGGATGAAGAGGATGTGATGGCCGGCTTTGCCAACCATAACCTAGATGAAGTTAGTCCGAAATGCCATGGACCTGCGTGAATAGACCGTTTTAGGTATCGTACTGTGTGTGTTATTATCTGCCATACTTGCCATCAAGTCGGTCTTCAGCTGTGCTTGGATAGATGACTCAAAGCACGGTGTTCTTTGTCATAAAAGTTCTTATTAATAGATACTCTCGGTGCAGACCATGACCAACATACAGTGAATTTTCTATCGGGAGTTCCTCTTGGATCTGCCTGGATAGGCCAGAGGGCGGTTGATCTTCGTGCTCTGGCCTTAAAAAGTTTGATTCAAAACCTAGCGGAGTACCAAAAATGACCGGAGTGGTTTCAAACGACGAGGAGGAGCTTGAGCTGCTACTAGATCTGGTTGCTGAGTCTTGTCCTTGAGAGATCCTGAAGCCGGATAGTGCACTTGAGCTCTGCAGACCCAAATACGAGCCCGAGGTAATCGGCGGACTAGTATTCCGCGGCTGTAAAGGCTCAATCCAAGTCGACGGATGAAGTCCGAAAGAAGAAGCGGATGACTCTGACGTGCAACTCAGATTCCGCAGTGGAGAGCCAGCCAGGTGTCTGCGATCACGATAAGAAACGTCAGGTAAGTGATGTGTTTCAAGTGTTATGGTGGACATTTGAGAGGTATAGTACACTGATTTAGCAAAACAGAAAATGGGAATGGTATTGAATTTAGACAGACAAAGTACAAAGTTAATGAAGAGGGAGAGAACAGTAGAAACCCCGAGACCACATACATATAAGGTGATCATATAGTGGGAGAAGGGGACAGTGAGGGAGGGAATGGCGAGGGGAAAGATCACTGGACCTACAGTATAGAAAGATGACAAGCGCAGACTGAATCCTTTCGACAACCACGGCGGTAATGTCGAAATCCAACAACTGTACCCTGTTGGCAAAAATAATGCAAAATTATACAGAAACCAATGAAGCCATCCCCAGGAAACCGAGCAACGGCGACTATTTAAACGTCCTAGGGTCAACAAATGGAGAAAAACGGATGAGGGTAAGCGAATAAGCAGATTCGCCTGGGGGGAAAACCAAAGATAGTTCGTTCTGGTTTAGTACTAAGTCTACAGCTCAGCTTATGGTAAGTTCGGTTTTACTTTTAAGGTGATCGTTTATTATCCAATTTGTCTATTATTTTCTATTTTTTTGATTTGCCTAGAATTTAATTTCTAATACCTTTTAGTTAGCATGATTCACACTGCCACTTGCCTAAGGCCTGTCAGACTTTCTCCTAAAACGCAAGCCAACATCGATGATCTTGCCGTTTGACTGACTGGCTGCACATTGTGTTTCGTTTTTTTTTTTTTTTGTTTG